ATTATCTGATGACGCGATGAGTGAGGCATAGTAGTTAGTCCTAGCCTTCCTCATCGCCACAAGGTAGGATCTAAGATGTATCCTTACCTGTGCTCGATCGGATTCGGTTCGGCTGGCCCTCCAACTGCTCTCTAGGCGTCTTTTCCGACGTTTCATCTCTCTCAGCCCCTCGGTAAACCAAGGAGATGGTCGAGATCTTATGCTAAAGAATAATTATACATTTCAATCCCCATATTTTTAAGTCTTTCAAAAGAAATGCATATCCCACCTAAAGTTATGCAGTTTAGCAATCTCTCCAATCTTCCATGAATGTTGATATCATGTGGATTTAAATTGTGAAATGTTAATGTTTTTTCTTTACTTAGTTAGTAAAGAATAAAAGAAAAAATCACAATGTACAGTCTATAAGTATCATAGGTAATATTTCTTGTCTTCAGTCTTTTGTAACTTGAATTAAAAAACTGCTTATCTTGTCATAGTAGAATAATGTAGAAATTTTATATGATGCCAGTGCTTCTCTTTTCCCATCCCATTTTAATTTTTAAAGCATCCATTTTTCTGTATTCATGAAATCTGACAATATTTCACAATCTTACACCCAGTTTTGCAAGCTTTGATTGATCACTGTTGGGAGTCAAATAACTAACTTACATAACTGTGTGTTTGTATGTGTGTGTGCGTGTGTGTGTTTGTGTGCAGTTGTGCAGCTGTGTATTTGTGTGTCTATATGTGGGTCTGTGGATGTGGGTAGGATCTATGGGTCTGGATCTGTGGATCTGAGTCTATCTGGGTCTATGTCCATCTGTATCTGTGTAGAATCAAATTCTGTCTATGGAAATCATGCATGCCACAATCTCTGAATGATGTCAAGACTGAGAAACATGTTCTAGACATTTTGGGCTACAATTCTCATTATACCAGCCTTCATGTTATATTGCTGTTATTGTTAATCCTAATATAATTAAATTGGGGTGCAGATATAATTGAAATTGAAAAAGTCTGGTCTACCGTCTCTTAAATGACAAAATTATATATAGTAACCTAGAACTGAATTCTGTTCAACTGTGTTTACCTCTGTGTAAACAAGCGTGGTTTTTTTGTCAGTTTCTTCTTTTAGCACAACTTTGCATATTATTGTCATCATACATAGGGCCAGCTAACTATATATGAAAAAAATGTAGCAATATTCATTTGCCTTTTTATAAAAGACTAGGAAACCTTAGCCTTGTATGGATAAATATGGCCTTTTCTGCTTTTCGTAGTTGATCCATGTTGATTGAGGAGGTTTCCACCAACCTGTCCATCAAACTGTAGGCAATACAGAATAGGGTTATATATTTTCCCAACTGTTATATATTCTCCTGATGAAAAGAATATGGGTTTGGCCTTCTGAAACCGCCTGAAGATCTGGCTTTGCCAACTGTCCAGGGGTCCCAATGAGGGTACATCATTTTGGAGGTGGTCAATAGACTAAGATAAGACCCCACCTTTTCCCCTATGTGCATGATGCTCCCTCCCTCCCTTCCTCTCCATCTTTGCCAATTTTATGCTAAATGAATGTTATTATTTATCATTTTAATGTTTTTATTGGGTTTCATGATTGTAAGCTGCCAAGAGTCACCTCCAAGCAAGAGGAGCAACATATAAGTTTAATAAATAAATAATAAAAGAAAGGAACTCACTGTCTAACTACATTGCAGCAGTAATAGCATTACATAAACCTGAACAGTTGGTATTTCACTGCTTAGGAAATGGAAAGTTGGAGTCACGGAAGTGCCTTGTGGGGAAAGGAAACAGCAGAAAATGAGTAACAACTTCACTCAGGCCATTCCAGATAGCGGCCTATACAGTAGCTTTGCTATTGACAGTGGACAGTTTTTATGCAATCGCTTTTGATATTGTACAATAACAATTTAACAAAACACACAGTTACAATTTGGAAGAGCCTTTCTTTTCACTGCTTGGAAATCTACAAATTGTTTATAACACATTTAAATCAACATAAAGCAAACATCTGTCTGCTAAATATGATGGTGAAGTTTGGCTTTTGTGGCAAGAGAGTGAAAAAACAGTTCCTGCATGAAACTAGCACCAATGCAGTTATTTACCTGAATGATTTTACTAATGGAATTCTCATTCTTACCGAACTCTAGCTGTGATATTTTGTGAGAGAAATGAACTAATGCTGTGAAGAAAAACCATTTGAGATTGTTCCATTTTTTTTAATCTTTTAGGGTTTGCCTTCAGAATTTCAGATATCTAGGAAAACGAAATATAGTAAGGTAATGTTTTATTTATCAAACAAGTAGCAAAATATTTGAAGTACATATGTAACTGCAAGAAACTTTAGTATGTGTGTGTATTGAATCTAGATGAGGATGAGGATGAATTACAATGAATCCTAGTTCATAAAGTTCCAAAATAAATGCTTTTTGTGAATTTTCATTAAGTGCCCATAAACTTTTGCATAAGAACAGGCTGCAAGTATAAAACATAACTGACTTTAATGGAAGTTTAGTTTAATGAGATAAATAATATGGATTGTGTTTGGAAATCTTACTATAAAGTTTTCATAAGAATTCTTCGCTATGAGACCTATTTTCTAATAATAGAATATGATTCTGATATAAATGTCATATCGGTAATAGAATACAAGACCTTTTTTGATAAATTTTCCTAATATTTATAGTAATAAATGATATTATAATGCAGTTTTAAATTTTATTCTCTTTTATCAGGAAAATTGCTGCTGCAGTTAAGTTTGCTCAGACCACCCGGAATAATGGAACATTGAAAGGCTCCAGTTCATCCTGTCAAACCTCTGGACTTCTGCCACAGTGGTAAGATTTAACAAAATACATGGAGGGTTAATGCAAAACAGCCATGATGGCTCAACAGAGGCTAAGTATGTATATTGTTGTTGTACACCATTGAGAATCTGGAAGGATTCAACAGCAGGTAGAT